GTAAATAAACATAAAATATAAATATATTATACAAAATATACAAAATTTCATATTTCTTTAAAAATGAAAAAAATATTTAAATTATTATGAAATACATTTCTTTTATTGCATTCACTGTTATATTTCACTCAAAAAATCAATAAATAAATAAGTCAAATTAACTTTTAAAAAACAATACCAAAAAAAAAAAAAAATAACGAAATATATGCAATTTTGCATATTTCTTCAAAAATGACCAAAATTAAAAAATGATTATTAAATATATTTTCATTATATTCACTTTTATATTTCACTCAAAAAAAAAAAAATAAATAAATAAATAAATAAATAAATAAAAAAAGTAATAATAATAAAATAAATAAATAAAGTTTATATAAGTATATATATTAAAAAAAAAAAAAAAAAAAAAACTAAATTAAAGCAATAATGAGAAACTATTTTTTTTTTTTTCAGATTTGATTGTATTGCTTAGCAGCTTGGCGGATCGGTTCGTCGACTGCTCATCTGCCCAGTCGAGCGGTTTCTGGCAGCTATCGCCGATGCCGGCGGTGCCGCTGCCGCAGTCGCTGCCGCTGCTGCTGCTGCTGCCGCGGCTTGTGTATGTGACGGTGGCGTCGCTTCTTCTTGTGCCTGCCCTGCTTGTTGCTGCTGGGCTTGCGGCGCCTGGTGACGTGCTGCTGCGCTGAGCCGCCATCGTCCAGCTGGGTGGGCAGACTTTGGTCCAGGTGGCGCCAGCGCCGCGTGTCGTTGCCATTGATGATGGTCGTCGTTGTGGTGGTGGTTGTGGTGGGCGTGGTGAAGGTCGCGATCGACTGCGGTATCACAATGATATTCTCGCGGGCCGGCTCCTGCGGGAAGAGGCCGCGGAAGAGCATGAACTTCTTGAACAGATCTCGTCCGCTGCCCACATCCGTGCCTCTGGCACTGCGACCCGCTGTCTGGGGCAGACGATAGCCTGAATGGGCAGAGTTAGATGCAATTGATTGTGCTGGAAATGAATCTCAGATCTCACCGGCTCGCAGAGTCTCAGCGCCTTGCAGCAGCTGGAACAGCAGCATCGCCAGATAGACGCTGCATGGCATCCATTTGCCCACAGATCGAGCTGGAGCGTCTCTTGGCATCGTTTAGCGGTTCTGGCAGTAGGTTCTGTGCGCTGGCTTGGCTGGGTAGCGACGCTTTTATAGATGGGTCCATGATGCGGGATGCAATTAAAAAGTTTCACCCGAAATCGAATTGCGTGCTTGCGTGCGCGACGCTGCCTTGACATGGTATCATTAGAGGCGCTGGGGCTGAGCCGTTGCGTTGCAGCCATGACTGGCGGGCACGTAAATCAAGCGGCAAGTGTATGTGTGTGTGAAGAACTCATAGAGAGAGAGAGAGAGAGATAAAGTAAGTAGCCGAGGCACAAGTGAAAGTTGTAGGCACAGTAAATCAAATCTAATAAACTCGACAATAAACATGCGCACATAAATCTCGGAAGGCGGTACGAACGAAAAACTGGCAAATCAAGTTGCAGCCCAAACAACTATGCGCACACACACACACACACACAGGCACACACGCACATACAGCTTGTATATGTATCTGAGAGATACAATACTTATGGCTGGCTAAAGCAGCAGCCCGAGCGTGTTGTATAAATAAATAAACGAATTTATGTTTTCACAGCCAGCCTCAATCTTTTGTGCGTGTGTGTGTGTGTGTGTGTGTGCGGCATATTTTTTTATGCACATATTTATATTACATGACCACTTTTGCGGCCAAAGGATGTGCGGCAGATAGTGTCAGTGCGTGAGACACAGAGGCAAATAACTTTAACATAATTCACTTAAATCTTTTCGGTTTAATCTTGAAAAGTGTTTCACACACACACACACGCACATACACACAAAGAGAGAGAGAGAGACAGACACAGAGCCAAGCACTAAGTGTTCCATTCAGACAGAGCTTGACAGAGCGACAGACAGACAGACAGAGGGCGAGAGCTGTGGAGTCCTGACAGTCAAGTACATTGTGGCACACACACACACACACACACACACACACTGAGAGCTGTCCAGCAGCTGCAAATGTATCTGTATCTGTTTCTGAATCTGTATCTGTGTATATACGATACGAAATGTATCTTGCTTTGTATGCCAGCTGTGCGTAGCTATGCTTGACTTCAACTTTTGGCGCCCAAGTCAAAATGTTTTCTTGTAATTTCGCAAAGTGTTGAGTCAATAATCAACAGGATCTCATAGGGTCCTTAACCCGGGGCGAAGCTGATTAACAAAACACAAGAAAAATATTGAAAGCCAATGGAAAATTTCATAAATTACAATCTGAATGAAGAGGGAACAGTAGAGAGGAGAGGTGAATAGAATATAAGAGAACTACTATATATAACAAGTAGGAAAGCTTTAATCGAGACTGCTCAACTACGAGAGGCTCCGAACCCTGCGAGCAACTGATATTTTAAACATTCTGCTTACACAGGAGACACAACAGGCACATACACACAAACGCACGCACACTTAAGCAGTATAAGAAAATTCGAAATTCTCTAAAATACTCATGAGTCTATAAATAAAACTTAGAGAAACTAGCTTTAAAAATGTTGGAAATATAATTTTATTACGGATTTTCGCTAAGGTTTTTAATCGATATGAAAATAACGGGATTAGCTATCAATTTTTTGAAACAAGCTCTATATGTGGGTGGCATATGCGAACTCAAAAATAAAAATTAAAGTCTTCAGCTCGTATATCTTCTGAGATCGATGCGTTCACACATACGGACAGACATAGGCCTCAATCGATTCACTTCGTCATTTACTTTATACTTTATGGGGCCACTCCTCCTTCTGCTACTATACCCTTATTTTCCATTTTCAATATGCATACATGTATTCACTACATTTTATATATGATATTATGCATGTATATTTATATATATTTCTTTGTGTATTATAAATATTTTTATCTATATTAATTTTATTTTATATACTCGCCTTTGAATCTGCCATCATTTATAATTTTGTTGTGGCTGCTGTTGCTGCTGCTGCTGCGGCTGGTTGTGATAAAATTCAATTATAACATTTTCTATTAACTTAAAAGCTTCTTATATTTATTTAATTTGTTATTGTAGCTTGGCTGTTGTTGTTGTTAGTTTTGTTCGACTTGCCAATTATTGTTGCTATCAAATACACACCCACAAGCAAACCCACACACACACACACACAGAGAGAGAGAGAGAGAGTGGGTGATTTTATGAGTGCTGCCATCAATTAAGAGTTCCTTGGCAGCTGTGCGTCTGTTGGCCATCTTTCTCTTGGCTGCTGGCCGCAGCCTTTTGGAAAATAGTTGACATATTACAGCCAGGCTAAGTGTCTAATTGTCTGTCTGTCTGTCTGTACGTTTGTCCGTCTGATTGCATTTATCTGAATATCCATTTTCATTTGCCAGCATATTTCAGTATTCACAGCCCAGCCCCAGCTGCCCGAGCGCCCATTAGCCCGATTTCAATTTATTAGTACTGCTTCTTCCCACATTGCCTTCTTCTTCTTCTTCTTCATCTTGGTCTTCTTCTTCTGCTTCTTCCCATTGTTGCTATTGTTGGCCTGAATTGAATTGTTATGCAAGCAAATTAAATCGATCTACTTAAAATATGAACGAAATGCATTATGGCATTCAGCCTCTGCCGTCCGATTCGTGGGCAACGGGGCGTATGCCTAATAATGCTAAATGGACTCCGTTTACAAACGGAAAACATGCGTAAATTAAGCCTCAAAGGCAAATATGCAACGTCTTGGGCTAATAATGGCCACTTCATTTCTACAGCATTTGCTGTTGTTATTAACAGATTTGTGGTTTTTGTCTACCCAAACTACTGCTAATAACTTGAGTGCCAATCGAATCTGAATTTCAATAAACAAACCTCCACTGAGCACGGCTGAGGCGGCCGTTGAGTGTATACTCAATACGGATTTACGTAAGCATTGCGGAATTTCCAATGAAAATAATCTTTTAAGCTATTCCTCGCATTTTCGAGAATAGTGAAAATTCGTTGTAAGCGAAATTCATTACCATTCAGATGCATAATTCCAATCCTTGTTAAGCTGAGGAGCCCATTGAAAATGCTAAATCGACGTTGGCTGAAAATGAATGTAACAGGTCAAAAGAGGCGTGGTCAATTTCACAAATATATATATGTAGGTATACGGTCCGATTGGTTAGGCATAGCATAGAAGAAAATGTAGGATATATACCTATATATGTATGTATAGCTATGTGTACCTATTATATATAAATATGTAGTATTACCTATATATGGTTGAAATAGTGAAAGATTAACGTCTGTAACGGCTCTAGTCCTTGCAAGCTGCAAATTTTTTGCTTAAATTTATAAAAAAAAAAAAAAAATTTAAATACAATATGAAAAAAAATATATATAAAATAAAGGACCTTAAAATGCAAATTTTTTGTTTAAATTTATGCTATCAATTAAATTAAATAAAAAAAATAAATAAATAATAAATAAAATAAAATATATATAAAAAAAAAAATAAAAAATAAATAATAAAAAATAAAGTACCTCAACATGTTTTTAGTCAAATTAAATTAATTTTTTTTTTTTTTATATATATATATATATATTTTTTTTGAGTTTTCAAATTCTGTTCTTTGCTTGTTAAAATAATTTAGTTCTTGTAAGCTGCAAATTCTTTGCTTAACTTTATGCTAACAATAAAATTAAATTAAAAAAAAAAAAAAAAAAAAAAAAAAAAAAAAAAAAAAAATTAAAAATAAAGTACCTCAAAATGTTTTTAGTCAAATTAATAAATTCATTTTATTTATTTTTTTTTTTTTTTTTTATATATAAATTTTTTTTTTTTTTTACAGAATTCAAACTCTGTTCTTTGCTTGATAAAATAATTTACATTAAACAAGTGGGGAGAGAAAAAAAAAATTGAAAATTAAATCTAATGCTAAATTCTAGTCAAGAGAATGCGGTGCATGGCCAGTTAGCTTGGATGGGAGTCGTGGGGGTGGGGGATGGGGAGTCGGGTCGAACGCACGCCTAGAGGTACTGGATGCGGCGAATGTTCTTGGCAAAGGCCGCCAGGGGATTCCTGCTCTCAGTGGCAGCTGCGAGCGCCGGCCGCTGCCTTCGACGCTGGCCCAGCAGCGGGAAGCGAGCGTCGCCCATTTTGGGTATGTCGGTGCTGGTTAGTGCTGTGTCGGCTGTGCTCTTCGGCTGATCCGAGTCGAGGGGATCCATGACTAGCGACGCATCGTCCTCACCCTCGCGAACGGCCAGGGGGCCAGAGTCCGCGTCTGCTGTCAGCTGGCGCAGCATGCGCAGGTTGAGGGGCACATAGCCGACCGCATTGTTGCCCAGGCTGACGGGCACCAGGGGCACAGCACCGCCGAGAGCACTGAGACGACTGAGGCCATTGTAGCCAGCGAAGACGTTCGCACTGCTGACGCCGTTGTCGTACATCTGGGCGGAGCCGTAGTCGATCAGATTGTAGGGCAGAGCCAGGCCCGGCTGCTGGCCCTGACGCGTCTCGAAGTACTGCACCGGCATCGACATCGACATCGGCATCGGCATCACCTGAGGAGTGCGCACGATTTCGCGGACCACATAGCGCGTGCCGCCTGCAGGGGGGGCCTCGGTGGGCGCGTTGTTGATATTGGTGTTGTTCACCCAAAACAGCGTCCCGTTCTTCTCATCGAATTTGTGCCTTTTGAGGAAATGGAAGCGACGTGACTCGTCCGGCTGGCTGGGCGACTCCCTCTCCGCCACGGCGGGCACATTCACCAGCAACAGGTTCTGCCTCAGGGCCGGTGCCAGCTCCGCTAGGTCGGCATAGTCCGCCTCGGGCTGCTCCAGCTGCTTGCCACGCTGCTCCTCGGCATGGACGTTGGCAGCGAGCTGCTTGGCCTGCTGCTGCTGCTGCTGCTGCTTCTTCTGCTGCTGGAGCAGCGCAAGTGCTGCACGCCGCAGATGGGGCGCGTCGAGCGGCGTCTCGATGTACACGTCGTTCGAGTCGAATGTGGTGTGCCACAGTGGCTCGCCACTGCGCTGCGCGGGTCCCATGCTCGTCGCGCTCGTCTGCACGCGCCGCTCCCTGCCCACAGAGGCCGCCCGGCCGCCATCGATGCCCAGCGAGCCGATCACGGCCAGCGCTAGCAGTAAATTCCTTATCCCTTGCACTCGCATCATCTTTTCTGCCTTTGTCGTGTTGCGCTTCTTCTCTTTGCTTGTGCTCTTGTCCAAGTTGCTCCGATGGGTCGCTGTGGTCTGTGGTCTCTGCCTGGCTAGAGGTCGTCCGCCCGGCTTATATAGTTGCTCCAGTTGGCTTCAGCTGGCCGTGGCTAATGAGCGCCATTTATTCGACAGTTATCGCCGACGCTTATCAGCGAGTCGAAGCGTTCTGGCTTTCATCGCGATAGCCAAGCGAGCCCATTAATTTTGCTCTGCGCAAGTTTTGCCTGATCTAAAGCCAGCAAAGAACTTGACGCTAATTGCGGCGAGGACCAGCCGCAGCTGAGTGCACGAAAGGCTGCAACGACCCATTGACAGATATACACAGAGAGAGAGAGAGAGGGGGAGAGCAAGTTACAGATAAATCCTTTGCTAATTGAGTTATGCATTCATCGTGCACTACTTTGGCAGCTCTTGTTAGCTCTGTTAACTCTTGGCCCAAGTTGCTGGCGACTTCCGTTTGTTTAGCCATCTGCTCAAGACAAATATTCTATATAAGTATATATGTAATAGATTAAACATGTATAGTATATTTCTATATATCTAGATCAGCTAGTTGCCTTCATAGTCCATTCGACAATTTTGTTATGCCATTGTCATGCAAGAGCTAACGGATTGCTTTTAGATTGTAGGAGGGAGCGGGGGTGGGAGGGAGGCGTATGCTTACAACTGCATTACTATCTCCACCTCTATAAATATATAGCTCTCGCTCTCTCTCTCTCCCTGTCTCACTGTCTCTCTGTCTATCTGTCTATCTCGCTTCGTGTTTGTCTTGGCCCAATGTGTCAAAGTCAACTTGGTAAAAAGTTTGCTTTTTATTATTTCGTTACCTTCATCGTCGGCGTCGTTGGCACTTTTTGAACTTGCCACTTGCCACTTGCCGCATGCCGCATGCCGCATGCCGTCGCTGCTGCTGCTTCTGCCCCGTCTTCATCTTCACGCTCCGCTTACCGAACGCGGACCGAGCGAAAATATTATAACATAGCATACTTTCCGGCGCTGGGCAAAATATGTACGAAAACAGCGCTCACCGAAATTGGGCAACGAGTGAACCGAAATAAGAAAAATATGATGGCAAAAGCATCGACGGGATAAGCGCAACTAGTAGATTCTCTGTAGCCGGCGAAAGTCTCCTAGAGCTCTTCCAGTTGGGAATCTTTGGCATTGAGTTCAAAGAGGCAATCGCCACGACTAGCGGATACCCGGCAATGAAGAAAACTGATATAGATGCCTATGATTGAGCGAGAATTGCTTAAGTTACGGTTTATATATTTAAGGAATGGTAAGAAATAAGATATTAGCTGGAATTGACACGACTAGTAAATACCCGGCCATAAAGGAAATGGATATGAGTTGTTCAATTAGAAAATTCTTAAGGCTTACAGTTTATAGATTATTCTTAGGGAACTATAATATATAATAATATATGATATTAAATACATAAGCTGTAATTGACACGACTAGCAGATACCCGACAAAGATGAAAGTAATATAAACTAAAATTCTTCAACTCTTCAAATCAGCTATATCCATGCCTTAGACTTAATTTACAAATAGAAATGAAATAAAGCATAAATGATAATCGACTAGACTGGCAGATGCCTTACAACAATACATGAGCAAATCAGCTCTTGAATACTTTGCTTAAGCAATTCCATTATAGAGTGAAAAGAAATAAGAAGAAAGAAAATAGATAAATAGATAAAAGGTTCAGGTTGCTCTTTGAAACCTATAAAATTCCACAATTAACTCCAAGCCATGTAAGCAATTTATGATCATCTTTGTTCATATTCAGAATATTTAATCTTAAGTTTCCACAATCCACACTAGATATTCAAGACTCCCACAACTCAAGCTACTATACGATCTGGCTAACCCTATGCAGCATCTGCAGCAGCCCGCTATAAATATTGAAAAAACAAAAAACAAAAAACTCTATCCGTATGTTGGATAGGTCTGAGTCGTCTTGGAGTTGGGCGCGTTATGAACGTGTTTTTCCGGGCGGGCTGTGCGAGGGGTGGAGGGATGAAAAAAATGCTATGCTATAATACGATTTTAGCAATGGCGTCGACTGCACTTACAAGCCGCTGCCCGCCACCAAGTTTGATATAGCGTGAGCCATGCCCACCGCCCACCGCCCACCGCCTGCCACCCACCCAGGCACATTTGGAAAGCTCTTGTACTTTGCGCACTTTGCGCTCGCGTTTCTTTTCACTTCTCAAACAGTTTTTTGTCGCAATAAAAATTTAAGTCGATTTTATGGGCACAAAAAGCAAGTGGAAAGCCCGAGTCTACGTCTTGAGTTGCCAGCTCTGAGCTCGCGAGCTCTGAGTTCTGAGTCGTGAGTCCTGAGTCCTGAGTCCTCAGTCCACAGTCCACAGTCCTCCGCTGTCCTCGGCTCTGTGTCTGTGCAGACTTGAATCGTGGCATCAACTCTCGAATGCAAAGTAAAGGCCAAAATTACAGTTCTCGGGCAAAAAGTTTCATTTCTCTGGCGATTTTGTTGTCTCAACTTTGCATTCATATGCAAGCGAGGGCGGTATGGGGTCGTCAAAAATTGGAAGGTTTATTTAAATTTCAACTTGTTTCGAAAACGTTTAAAAAGTTTCCGCTACTAACTGACTGCTGATAACACAAAGTATCCCCATCCCAATGCCGCAATCACTCCCCCCTCCCCCCTGCCAGCAACCGACCCGCAGCCCAAACGGCAAGTTGAAACAGTTGGCAAAGTTGATTCGACTTGTCCTCAGCCCGCGTCGAAGAGGCTGAGCGAGGGGCGTGACAAAATTAGCACAGCATATAAATAGAAATATATAGAGATAAATATATATTTTATTTACTTATGTCATATTTATTTTCGCATTTATTGCCGACTTTAAGCCGAGCCCCAAATAGCATTCAGGCACATTAAATATAGAGCACAATATATGAAATTGACGAACTGGTGCGAGGCCAGACGCTGCTTACCCCACAATGTGGGTCACAATGCCAAATGTCTGGGCTGTCATTTGATATTGGGTCGGAGCAGGAGAAAGATAGACGTAGACAAAGATGGAAATAGAGATGAAGGTATATAGATATAGATCTAAATATAGATACGGATACAGTACAGATACTCAGATACAGATACAGATACAGATACAGATACAAAAACACATACAGATACAGATACAGATACAGATACAGATACAGATACAGATACAGATACAGATACAGAAAAAGATACAGATACAGATACAGATACAGATACAGATACAGATACAGATACAGATACAGATACAGATACAGATACAGATACAGATACAGATACAGATACAGATACAGATTCTAAGATACTCAGATACAGATACAGATACAGATACAGATACAGATACAGATACAGATACAGATACAGATACAGATACAGATACAGATACAGATACAGATACAGATACAGATACAGATACAGATACAGATACAGATTCAGATACAGATACAGATACAGATACAGATACAGATTCTAAGATACTCAGATACAGATGCAGATACAGATACAGATACAGATACAGATACATATACAGATACAGATACAGATACAGATACAGATACAGATACAGATACAGATACAGATACAGATACAGATACAGATACAGATACAGATACAGATACAGATACAGATACAGATGCAGATGCAGATGCTGATAATAATACATTATGCAATGACTAGTCTGAGTCTAAGCCAAGTCTGCCCCGCATTTAGTCAGCCTGGGTTGAGGCTGCTCTAGCCACTCGGCTCGGCCTCGTCTGGCTGCGGCAGCATCTCAAACGAAGTGAGTTGCAACTAATTTCAGTTTAATTTGTGTCAGTTTTTGCCTTAGCAGCGCTTTTCTTTCCACGCCGTCGTCATCGTCGTCGTCGTCGTCGTTACTTATTATCCTTTGGCTTCCCTTCGGCTTCAGCGTGCGACGTGTAAATGCTGCTAATGACGTCGTCGTCAAGACACAAAAGGCTCAATGCGCCAAGCTCATCGCTCAGTGCTCGCTGCTCGGTCGTGGGTGCTCGTCGCTCGTCGCTCGGTGCTCCATGTGGCTCATCCGTCTGTCTACCTGACTGTCTCTCCGTGCGTCCGTCCGTCTGTCTGTCTGTCTGGCAGCGTCTTTAATGACTTCCTACTTTAATTTAGCGAATTTATTATTTTAATTTGCGCGCTTTACGTTTTTCGCGGCAAATTCGCTGAGCGAATTTTCGTTTCGATTTCGATTTCATAATTAGGGACCAGGCCTTAGTCGTTTTTAGACGGTTGCCCCTGGCAAGCGCTGGCGGTCCTTAAGCCAAAAACCGCTTCAAATTCACCACCCCAAATAGCTTGCCCTGCCCCCCATCCCGCCTCCCCCTGGCCCCTGGCCCTGCCCATGGCCTGCCTACGCTCCATCCATTCATCAGGAACATAAACCGCCAGCGTCCATGATGTTAATGCGCTTATTTTCATGTTAATTACCAGCAGACAAGCCTCGGCCTCGCCGGGGCCATAGTTTGGTCAGTCGGGCCGTGGGACTCTCGACTCTCGACTATAGCATAACAATGGGCGATGCTGAGGACCGCCCGCGGCCAGTAGATGGCGCCAGCACTTCAGTTGGGCTGCGAGCCAAAACTCGAGCCGGTGCTCAGATTTTTGGCAGGCGATTTAAATAATTGACAGATTTTCGCATTTCACTGAGCGCCGTCGGCCATCTTAGCTGGCATATCGGCAGGGGGTCAATGGGTTCCTTAAACCGCTTCATATCGTTTCTAGCTCTGTCTACTTCCCTCTCTCTCTCTCCCACTCTCTCTCTCTCTCGCTCTCTTTCTGCCTGTCTGCCTGTCTCTAGCTATCTTCATGTGCATTTGAAAATTCATCTTCCACTTTAACTTGTGCTCCATTTTGTTCGTCTCCGCAATAAACTGTTTTATCTTTATGAGATTATATCTTCAGTTTCACCCACACAATTTTGCCCTCTCTCTCTCTCTCTCTTTCTCTCTCTCTGTCTCCCTTTCGCTTCCCAGCTATCTAATGTCTGTGCGTGTGCCAGACAAACTCTTTGCCCAAAGGATTTTTGTTTGACAAAGTTAAATGCACGATGTGCCCAGGCACGCAGCTACCGGCCTCCCTCTCGCCTCTCGCTGCGCCCCCTGCTCGTTATTCTCTTTTACATTGCTTTGTTCCTGTTCCTGTTCCCATTCCCATTTCCATCCTTGCTCACCTGCTCTGTTCAATATTAGTTTATTGGCCAGTTGAGCTGTTCCCAGCATTTAAGCCGACAGCAGTTCAAGGTTATTGATACACCTCATAGCTGTGGGCTATGGGCTCACTCTACCGCAGTCGCTGTAAATCGCCAGGCTATAAATTGCGAAATTTTGCAACTCAGTTGGATGAAAGCGAAAACATTACACTTACCTGCCATATAAAGGACTTAACTAACGGTATAAAAAGCAAAGCTGTGGTGCTCTGATTTAAGAGTTATTTTCTCTCATTTGAACTAGCCCAGTTAGAGTCATAGATGAAGCAGTTGATGATAAGAGCTTTATGTTGCAGCTACTTGCATGTGATTTTATATGATATATGTATGTACATACATATTCGGTATAGCACATCATTCAATATATCAGCATATGCTCAGTACAGCGACTCTTCTTATTGGACTTTCTGTAGATGTTGGCCCAAGACTGAAGCTCATAGCTCTTCGATATTCCTGTGGATGTTGGCTTCGGTTCAAACCATGAGCAGTACTTTCTTCAAGATAAAATTCAACACTTTTTAATGCGTTCCATTTGTTTGGCAAATTTAAGCAACATTCGCATATTCGATATTTTATGTACTTAGTGTCATCGATAACTTGAGTAAAGCTATCGCATAAAAGTTGTCGAAGGGCCAAATATACAGATGGACTAGGCTAGATGCTGAGCGTAAAATAAGATATGTATCTGGTTATGTAGATATAGACTCTATATCCCATTCAGTTTAACTATTCCTAGCAAAGTCTCTAGCTATCTGCACTTCAATAAACAGACTCAGAGTCAGAGTCAGAGTCCGCCATATTCCTTTGAGCCTGCAGTGCAATGCACTCGCTAAACACTTCCTGATAAACCTATAAATACCCCTTAGTCACTTTCATAAACATTCATAATCACTGTCTGTGCTGAACTATGCATGTCTGGCAACGCCCACTGACTGTCTGGCAGCTCTGGCAGCTGATTTAACCATAAATGGCAACGGCATTCGAATTTGTTTATGCATTTTACGACCCAAACGTCAGCTTCATGTCGGCATTACCACCTTTGAGTGGCTGCCGCTGCAGTTGGGCGAACGATAAAAACCACACACACACAGAGAGAGAGAGAGAGGGAGAAACACACACACACACACATATGTGCAGGCGCTGACAATGAGCTCCCAGCACCAGCGTGCAAAAACAATGAGGTGATAAACTTGAAGGCTCAACGCACAACAGCTTCGGTCCACGACAGCGACGTCGACGGCGACGCGCCAGCGACGTCAACCTCAACGTCAACGTCAACGTGCCGCACATTTAGATGGCACCTTGGAGAGGAGGCGCAGCCCAGAAGTGCAGCAGCAGCCCCGTTGCCAGCCGAGATCGGGCCGGGTCTGACATGACAGGGTTATGCCAGGGATCTTACACGGCTGCCAGGAGTCGGGGCCGACGGGGTGGGGGGTGGGGGTGTTTAGGTCTTGGGGTTGTTGCTATTGTGGGCATTCGTGTGCATGCGAAGAACAAAGCAAAATCAGCAGGCGACTTGCTTTTATGGCTTGTCTTGCTGCTGTAGCTGCTTTGCCAAGTCTTCATCCAGCCCCCTCCAGACACACATGTGTGTATGTATGTGTGTGTGTGTGTGTGTGTGTGGGAGTGTGTATGTGTGCAAGTATTTCTTGTTCTGCTCTTTAACGTTTTTCAAAACGAAGAAAGTTGGTTGACTTTTGAATGACTTTCTGGCGCTCGTCGCGTTGGGGGCAGGACTGACTCTAGTTACTGTTGCTACTCCTGCTCCTGCTGCTACTCCTACTCCTGCTGCTGCTGCTGCTGTTGTTGTCGATGTTGCATTTGTTTTATGTGTTAAGTGCGCTGGGCCCGAGCGCACAGAATGCATCTGCTTTGCGCTGCTTGTAACTGACGCTGATGCTGCTCCTGCTGCTCCTGCTCCTGCTGCTGCTGATGCTGCTGCTGCCACAGAGCCCGCAATCCGCAGTCCGCAATCAACAACTTGCAGCTCGCACAGCGCACGCAATACGCCGCACGCCTCATGCTGCATGCCACACGCAATGCGCAGCAGCTCGAGTCGAGCTTGGCTAAATCTAGTTGCAATTAATGTAGCAAGCGTTTCGTTTCGATTGACATTTGTTGATAATTTAAGCAATTATTAGAAATTGAAATATGCATGAAATTGCGAGCAGCAGCAGGAGCAGGAATAAATATATGCTGAATTAGCAGCACTGCCGAAAAGTATGCGATGAAATATTTATGCCACAATAGTTAATTGATGTCAATCAATATTCATGCAAATTCCAAGCAACGTAAATTGAATTTGAAATCATTTCCATTCACGCAACCCACAAAACAAAACAAAACAGTTTGGGGAAAGAAATGTTGAGGAAATTCTGCATGTTTGTCGGGCGCTTAAGCTGCTTAACGCTTCAAGCTAACTATTTATTTAGCTTGTAAGGCTAAATGCGTTTAATTGAAGAATTTAAGTGATAGGCATTTAATTGATTACAATTGGCTTGAACAATTAGAAGGCTGCAGCCTTGTTAATTTGCTTAAGCGATTAAGACAAGGAGGGCTCAGAGCACTGTGCGAATTATGAGCACTGTGAAAACTACTCCTCTCTATCATAAGGAAAGCTTATTAAAATTGGAAGCTAAGCAGGAGATTAGGCAAAGGATTACGAATCAAGTTTCTCAAGGTCTTCTGAAAGCGATACTCACGCCCATTAAAATGAGAGAGGGCTCAGCAGGAACATATATCCTCATATATTTAAAGTTAACAACAACGAAAAGTTTCTGAAAAGTATTGTTAAAGCTCATTCAAATTGAGGATTGGAGGAAAAATTAAAAAAAAATATATAAAGCTTCTGGAAGCTTTGGACGTTTAGCTAAAGTCATGATGATGATAATTCAGTTGTTCAATGAATGAGCAAAGTGCGTTTAAGCTAAATATTAAGAATTCTTGAAGCTACAAGTCAAAAATGGAAGCTTTACGAAAGTCGTATCACGTATCCCGAGCAGATAAATATATTTGCTTTGAGTACGAACAAGATTAAGAGAGATTAGAGGAGAGGTTAACTAAGATTAAAGTTAATAGAAAAGAAAAGCGAAACCTTAGAAAGAACTCAAAGCTCATTAAAGCTTTTATTCATTTGATTGACAAGCGCGAGCATTTAGAAAAAATTGAATAATATATACTTTGAGTACAAGAATATTAAGTTGAAGCTAGTAGATAAATTATTATTATTTTTTTTTAAGAAGAATACTCGCAGCTCGTAGGCTCTGAAGCTTAAGTTTATAGTACAAGATGAGAGCCATTGGCATTGGATTAAACAGCTTTAAGAATAAAGCTAATATGGGAGGTGAAAAGTAGTAAAAATAATAATAAATAAAGCTCATAATACGCTCAATTCGTTACAGCTTTAAGAAATATTTAAGCCATAAAAGTCCTCATAATTTGCTTTAAGCTGGAGTGGAATATGGATTACTAGAAAAACAGTATATTTTTAAGTATACTAGAAGCCCATTAGAACTGAAGCTTATAGTTTAGTTCAGATGAGAGAGATGAGATGAGATGAGATGAGATGAGATGAGATGAGATGAGATGAGATGAGATGAGATGAGATGAGATGAGATGAGATGAGATGAGATGAGATGAGATGAGATGAGATGAGATGAGATGAGATGAGATGAGATGAGATGAGATGAGATGAGATGAGATGAGATGAGATGAGATGAGATGAGATGAGATGAGATGAGATGAGATGAGATGAGATGAGATGAGATGAGATGAGATGAGATGAGATGAGATGAGATGAGATGAGATGAGATGAGATGAGATGAGATGAGATGAGATGAGATGAGATGAGATGAGATGAGATGAGATGAGATGAGATGAGATGAGATGAGATGAGATGAGATGAGATGAGATGAGATGAGATGAGATGAGATGAGATGAGATGAGATGAGATGAGATGAGATGAGATGAGATGAGATGAGATGAGATGAGATGAGATGAGATGAGATGAGATGAGATGAGATGAGAATAGATGAGATGAGAGACGCATACGACGCATACATTTGAGTTAATGAGTTTTAACAATAAAGCCAGTATGACTATACACGTAAGCCTCTGCTCTCAATAATTTACAGTTTTTATGAAGCTTTGAGTCATAGAAGTACTCCTCATATGCTTTAAGCTCAACTGTTTTCAGAGTGGAGTAGGGGTGACTAGGAAACATTCTTTCTTAAGAGGAATACTTGAAGTTCGCAATAACACAAGCTTAAGCATATGGTGTAAGATCATAACAAAGCAATATGACCAATATATGATATGATGCACGCAAGTAAAGCACCTACTCTCAATTTGTTACAGCTTTAAAAAAGCTTTCAGTCATAGCATCATAATTTGCTTTAAGCTCAGCCGTGTGGAGTAAGGATTCAGCTTGCTGAAATTCTGATTGGAAATCGGATTAAAATTCTGATTGGACACAGCGTTTCGGGCTTTCGGTTAACATTTTATTCGTATTTCATCACTGATACAGAGCCTAATCAGCAGCTGCGGGCCATAGCTGCGGCCAGTGGGCGCTGCCTAAGCCTCGTCGTAGTCGCGGATGATTTGCCTCTGCTGCTGGCGGCGGCGCTGTGGCTGCTGGCGACGACGGCGCTGCTGCTGCTGCTGCTGAATGCGGCGGCGCTGCATCTGGCGACGACGCTGCTGCTTTAGCTTCTGCTGCCTGTTGGCAGCCGGCCGGCGCTGACCGTTGCCGCGGCGCTGCTGGTTGGGGCGACGGCGACGCACCTGCTGGCCGCGACGATTGCCGTTACGATTGGCGTTGCCGTTGCGGTTGCGTCGACGAACAAGTCGCACCGCATTGCTGCCCTGGCGACGTCGGATCTGCTGCTGCTGCTGCTTCTGAGGTCGGCGCCGGCGGCGACGCTGCTGCATGTTCTGCTGGCGCGGCACATTGGAGCCGTCGCCCGCCAGCGGCTGGGCCGCTGCTTGCTGGCTGTCGTCCTCATCGGCGGCGAGCGGGCCCTCGGTGGACGACTGCGGCTGCTGCTGCTCGGATGGGCCATGCAGGGGCTGCACCTCGCCCACCTTCACCTTGGTCACCTGATCGCAGGGCACATCGCTGTAGATGACCACATTGCCGTAGTTGCAAACGATTTGCGACTCGTCGCCGTCGTCCGCCTGGCGGGGCTCGATGCGGCCCAGGCCGCGCTTGTCCTCGATCTCGTAGATGTCGCCCGACTTGGTGATGAAGCCCGTCACCTGCAACGGCTTTGCCTCCTGCACCTGCAGCGACGACTTCAGCTGCTGCGGCTGCGGCTGCGACTGCATCGCCTGGGGCGACTCTTGCTCCTTCTCCGGCTGGGCTGTCTCCACGCTGACCGGCACCAGATGCTTCTGCTTCATGGGCGGCGCATTGATGATCATCAGGGGCTTGGTGGGCTTTGACTCTGCCTTGGGTGCGCTCGTCGGCTTCACCGTGGAGCTCAGCAGCGGCGCTTGAGTTGGACGCAGCTCATCGCGGGCTGCGATCAGTGAGAGAGAGAGAGAGAGCGAGAGCGAGAGAGAAAGAGTGAAGGAGACAGAGGGTTGTGGATTGTCAGTTTGCTTTTGGTTGCTCGCAGCGTGGGGGGATCAAAAAAATTTACCGCTCACCAGTGAATGGCCACTGGCTATGGCCAGGACCAGGACGAGCAGCGATTGTAACGATAGTATTGCCCACTTCATGGCTTGATTTGTGCACGGCAACTGAATCGGGAGTCGTCGCGAGCTGCCGCTTATATCAACTTCCAGCGATCGCCGATCGGTGCATAAATCATTGGCTAACGGCACATTTTGCCAGCCTCTTGGGCGCTTTGGGGTCGTCTTGAGGCTGTGCATAATTAGCCGCAGTTTGGGGCCGTCTCGGCCCTCAGAGTTCAAAGCACGTCGAATGCCGCGTCGACCCATTTTCCGCAACTTTCGGCGACTCTGGGCCAGCATCTATGGCTTTCTATCGGCCACGTTCTGATGAGAGTTCAATGGCTGAACTTTGGCTTCATTATCATTTTTGCCTATTTACCAATTTTCGTTTGTTTTGCTTCTTGTTCAACTCGTTTGCGATGTGATTGGGGTATATTAGTTTGGTGTACTTTTCACCTGGAAGTCTGTCCGTCTCTACAGATGTCATCTACCCGGCCATACGTCCATCTAGATGTGTTGCTCCCTTAAGTATCTTGCAGTCGGTAACAGCCGTTCCGCATTTCACATTTTTACACGATTTGCGCGCTGCTTATTCAAATTCAGCATTGGGGTCGATCGACAAGAAGAAGCATAGAATCATATATTATATATAGACGCAGCTCTCGGGCTCCCGTCGTCGGGCTCCGATAGCTAATTTAACAAACGAGCCGGGACCGTGAAATGTTTGCATTCACCATGTCCACAAATGATGGAATCTAATAAGCTAAAGATGAACGGACTACGCTTTGTATATACATATTTATTTACAGATATATACAGACATATGTGTATAGCTATAGCTTTTGCCTAAGACGCAAATCAAGCCGTTTTCGGTTAGCCAGAAACTCATGCAGCGAAGTGGGGAATAAAAAATAACAATTGGCTATTAAAACATTTAATAAGAAATTTATCAATACTTTCAAAGCTCATTTGAATAATTAAAAGACAGCAAAAAATAAATTGTTTAATTTTATTTAATATATTTTTTATAGGTTTCAATAAAATTTGCTTCTTTTTTTTTTTGCGGCCTTTTTGCAGAGATGAAACTTAATTTATGTTAATGATGTGCACAGTGAGAGCCAAATGTTTGACTACCTGCGGCCAATGCTAAAACTATATGAAATATGCCAAACTTCTTCGTTACAAAAAAAAAAAAAAAAAAAAAAAAAAAAACAAAACAAAAACAAGTAAGACGGCTCTAGTCGAGACTTCTCGACTAGGAGATACCCTGAACCCTCCAAGCTGATATTCTAATCATTCTGCACTTCTTCTATGCACACATACATACACATGCATCCAGACGCACGTATAACAACGCGCTCTGCTGACAGCGCAGTAAGCAGCGACTGCGCTTGGGCTGCGCTGCAATGTGGGCAATATTATACGAATTTATTTGTTAAATTATTTAATTTCTAGACGCACAATCTTAATGAAACTTTCAGAGCGTAATCATATGGTGAAAATGTGTGTACATTCTAAAGCACACGTCTCTAGTACTTGAAATACGCCTTTTACAAAGGTGAGGGTGTGGGGGTGGATATAGGGGTGGGGGTAAATTACAACAAAAATCGAAATTATATAAAATACATATAAGTCTACATTTAAAATTTGGAAGCTCTAGCTTTAAAGGTGTAGGAGATATAATTAAATAACTAGCTTTCGATAAGGTTTTTAATCGATAATAAAATATCGGGAGTAGTTATCGATATATAAAGAAAAACTTGATATGCGCGTGATATACACGGACCTAGGAAAAAAAATTTCAAGTCTCTAGCTCTTATATCTTCTGAAATCGACGCGTTCATACATACGGACGGACGGACGGACGGACGGACGGACAGACAGACGGACAGGGTCAAATCGACTCAGCTCGTCGCCCTGATCAAGAATATATATACTTTGTGGGGTCTGCCACGCCTCCTTCTGCCTGTTACATACTTTTAACAAAACCATTATACCCTGATTTCCCATTTTCAATGGGTTCAGGGTATAAAAAAAAAGTAGAAAAATGTGAAAAAAAAAAAGATACTGAGGAAAACAGGTTTATGCTTTAGCTAATTCCGATTCTATTCAAGCCGCTGCTGTGTGCTTAGCTATGAATTGTGATCAATGTAAGTATATGGATTCAATGTAAAAGGGGCAGGAGGCGTGGCTGAATACGTTTTCGGTATAAGCCTCAGTCTCAGTCTGACTGGACGGACGTTCTTTCTTATTATAAACATCTTCGTTAAGCAACGGAATTTGCATTGGAGAGGGAAAAAAAAAAAAAAAAATTAAAAAAAGTAAAAATAATAATAATAATAATAATATTAATATTAATAATAAATAAATAATTTACAAATATTATTACGTATCAAAAATAATATAATATATTATTATTATTATAAATATTATATCAGATCTTGAGCAGGAGCAATATATTGGGGTACCTCTGGTCTGTCTCTCTCTCTCTCTCTTTTCTCCTTCTCTTTCTGCATAAGCTTTACACCGAAGCAGATCTTTGACCACAAAAAATATGCTTCAATATATTTACATATTATATATTTTTGTATATATGTAAATATATATATCTGGCATTTCAGATCTTGAGCAGGAGCCACAATCAAGTCGATCTAAGCTTCATTTCGTTTCCACGAAATCGATACAAAATAAAAATATTAATCTTCCGTTATTTATTTATATTGTTATATGTTTTCGTGGCTCTTTCCAAGAACTAGCACGATTAAAGGTGCGACTTTATATTCAGCAACCGGTTTGACTCGAGTCAAGAAGAGTCAAGCTACAGCGATTACAAGCTCACAGATAATTCTTAAATTACATTAGATCCACTATACATGAATTAAAATAAGTTCTTATTACACTTAAACTGAGAGAGAGAGAGCGAGACAGACCCTGTTACTCCAGCATAATCAGGGTCTGTCTCGCTCTCTCTCTCTCTCTCTCTCTCTCTTAGTTTTTAGCTTAGCCTTCAATTAGTTAATAATGGTTAAGAAATCATAGTCGTGTTTACTGTGCGATGAGTCAGTTACCTGGATTGATCGACTTAGCTCTTTCGACTCGTCAACATTTGCCTAGGCTATTATCATAATCAAGCCAGTCCATTGTTGGCTGGGGCATTACAGTTTGGAGCTGGTATCAAGCGGCGATTGCTCCATATTTGAGCTTCTCATTAGCGGATGAAGAAAAGACTCAAAAACTAAATTTCTTTAAGCACTGCAAAAGTAAACAAACTCATCGCACTTTCGGGTAGAGAAAACCAGTTTTCTTTATTTTAAAAAATAACAATAAATTTAATAAAATAAAATAAAATAAAAAAATTTTAAGTCATTAAAAAAAAAAAAAAAAAAAGAACTCAATATCTTTTTGTGCAATTGATCGTTTAGTTCCTCCTGCGATCATTGCGCTCCCTCTGCTTCATCTGGTAGCTGTGCAGAGCCTGCGCTAGCTCGCGTAGGTTTTCCGATCCCTGCCGCTGCTGTTTGCGCTCCTGCTGCTTCTTGAGCTCCTTGCACATCTTCTTCAGCTTCTTGCGCTCCTTCTTGACTGACTTCTGCTCGTGGCTGTCCTCGTCCTCCTCAGACGAGGAGCTGTCCCGCTTACGGCGCCGGCGCAGCTGCTCGCACTTGGCCAGCAGCTCCTTAACCTCGGCATCGTCGTCCTTAGGCGTTGTGCTCGATGCATCTGAGTTGGGAGTAGTGCCTGATGCATTGTCGCCTTTCAGGGCGGTGCTCGATGCATTGTCGCCTTTCGGGGCGGTGCTCGATGCATTGTCGCCCTTCAGGGCGGTGCTGGATGCCTCCGAGTTGGGCGTAGTGCTCGATGCAATATTGTCTTTCAGGGCGGTGCTCGATGCATCTGAGTTGGGCGTAGTGCTCGATGCATTGTTGTCTTTCTGGGCGGTGCTCGATGCATTGTCGCCCTTCAGGGCGGTGTTAGATGCCTCCGAGTTGGGCGTAGTGCTCGATGCAATATTCTCTTTCAGGGCGGTGCTCGATGCATCTGAGTTGGGCGTAGTGCTCGATGCATTGTTGTCTTTCGGGGCGGTGCTCGATGCATTGTCGCCCTTCAGGGCGGTGCTAGATGCCTCCGAGTTGGGCGTAGTGCTCGATGCAATATTGTCTTTCAGGGCGGTGCTCGATTCATCGGACTTCGACGTAGTGCTCGATGCAATATTGTCTTTCAGGGCGGTGCTCGATGCATCTGAGTTGGGCGTGATCGATGCTTCCAACTCAGACTTGGGTTTCTCTGTTGTAGAGATGATCGTTGTTGTCGTACTGCTGCTTGGATTTTCATCCACATCGGGCTTTGGCGTAGTCGTTGAGGACGGTGCCTCCGTGCTCTGCGGATAAGCGCAGCAGCAGGCGGCCAGGATGAGGCAAATGAAAATCGTCTCCTTGCGCATTATTGATGATTTATTGCCTTCAGCAGCTCAATCAACACTAAGCCAGCCCAACAATCGATTGCATTCATTTATACCTCCGATACGTCCCACTGGGAGCAGCAGCGCCAAGCGTACGGCCTGACTGGTTTTTCAATAGACCAAAATACACTAACTACGAATTTATTTGAGTTTCATGTTTATCTGCGGGGGGCTTTGTTGACATGCGCTACGCGCGAAACGAGTGCGTCCATGAGCACAGCGAGCCTACAAAAAATTGAGCAATTCGCTGGAAAAACAAAGATATATTGATACAATTATTCGAGACAACCAGGGAAGCTTAACAAAGATATTAAAAAATTGGCTCATCTTGATTAAGAATCCTGATTCTGGATCATGCTTGAATAAACTTTTGATTTAATTTGAAATATGCTTAACTTTTACGACGAATTGAAGGAATATTTGTGTTTGAAAGCTCTGAAGAGCTACTATTTACCCTAATTTAGGCTTTGTTTGTAAATTTAAGCAATCAAGCAATCTGCTTTGAAAGTATTTAAGATTTAAAAAAGTTTCAAAGCAGATTGATTGACTGCTTAAATTTAATAGAGCTTGCAAGCTTTCCTGTACAGATAGTGAGATTTGAGGGTGTTAGGTACTGAAAATGCTAAAGTTCTAAGGAGCTTTCGAGAATATTGTAGCTTCCTTTCCAATTGCTTGAAGATCTCGGAGCTTACTTACTATGAATCCCACATTACTGAAAGCTCATTAAAGCTTTTTGCTAGATTCAGAGCTCAACTTTTTGGCAAAAAGCTTCGCAGTTAATCATGCTTGGGCCTGTCGCCTATGCCGCACTTGACTGTGGCTCGCTCTTACAATTTACACTTTAATGAATTCTTTACACATACGCAAAACTATGAGCGGCAGATGCTCCCTCTCTGCCAATATATATTTGAATACTTCCGTGAGTGTATGTGTCAGCGTATTTGTGTTTGTAATTCACGCTCCGAGTGCGTCAGCATTAACTCGTTTTGGCCCAATAGATGCCAACAACTTGGTGACCGAGCCGACTCCGCAGATGCTTTATTAGCTGAGCTGAGAGCTTACATGTGAAGCTAAAGAACTGATATGCCCTGATCGAGTGACGATTGCAGGGCAGCGACATGTCATGCACTATAATTGATGCATTATGATTATTTTTGGAATGTTCTCATTTGTTAATAAACCGTTTGGCAGCCCGGCTCGGCTGCCCACACACAGCCGCACTAATTGTTTATCAATTACATTTGCTAATTGCTTAATGCACCTGCAAAGTGATGCGGCATTAATGTAAATTGCAACATTTTTAACATTTGGCAGACAGAGCAAACTTTCTCTGCCACCCCCCCTCTCTCAGTGCGTGTACAAGTAATTGAATAAAAAGCGAAAAAAAAAAACGAGAAAATAACAACAAATAATTAAAAAGTGCACGTGTAGAAAAAAAAAAAAAAAAAAAAACAATACAAAATCCCGGTGCTATCCTGATCCTCGCTGTGCGACTGGGGTGGGGACTGATGGGGACTCAGACCGGTCGTAACCCCGCTGCAAGCGCAACAATTTTAATGAAACAGAGAGAATATGTTAATTGCGTGTGAAACCGCTGCAACGAGTTGCCACTCGCTGCGTCTCTCTTTTATTTATTATTACAATTTTCCACTCCTTTTTGCCCGTTTTTCCCGTTTTTTAGTTTTCTCGTTTTTTCCACCTTTGCAACATTTTTCTTTTCATTTTCAGCTTGCAGCAGTTAAGCAGCAAAAAGTATGCAACATATGTAACATAGTGCGGGCGGGCTTCCAGGCGGCCAGCCAGCCAGCCAGCCAGCCAGCCAGGGCTGCCATATCGGAGTGCTTGCCATATCCAGAGCCGCATTTAGAGAAAAACAGCTTTCAGCGTCGAGCATAATGTAAAATGCAAATTTTCACGAGCATATATTTCAATTATGCTAATTGGATAAATGAATTGTATGGATCTGCTTCAACGGCAAGAAGCTGCGCATCTCGTAAAATCATGAGTTTCGAAACTTTCGGCACAGATGGCCGGGCAGCTATCGGAAGCCAAAAACATGTTGCTTCAAATTTCAATTGGGTCACTTCATATTTTGAAAACAATTTTGTTTACAACATCATATAGTTTACCCTTGGGAATTTACTGCTAAATTGAGCGTGCGCGGATAACTATGGAAGCTGCAGTGAATGCTTTAATACAATATTAGGACTGTAATCGGTGCACAATATACAGCGTTGCCCAACTGTATGCAGTGATGTAATGAATATTAGTAGAATGACGATGACAATGACAATGACAATGACATTGAAAATGACAATGACAATGACAATGACAATGACAATGGCATTGACAATGACAATGACAATGACAATGACAATGACAATGACAATGACAATGACAATGACAATGACAATGACAATGACAATGACAATGACAATGACAATGACAATGACAATGACAATGACATTGACAATGACAATGACAATGACAATGACAATAACAATGACAATGACAATGACAATGACAATGACAATGACAATGACAATGACAATGACAATGACAATGACAATGACAATGACAATGACAATGACAATGACAATGACAATGACAATGACAATGACAATGACAATGACAATGACAATGACAATGACAATGACAATGACAATGACAATGACAATGACAATGACAATGACAATGACAATGACAATGACAATGACAATGACAATGACAATGACAATGACAATGACAATGACAATGACAATGACAATGACAATGACAATGACAATGACAATGACAATGACAATGACAATGACAATGACAATGACAATGACAATGACAATGACAATGACAATGACAATGACAATGACAATGACAATGACAATGACAATGACAATGACAATGACAATGACATTGACAATGACAATGACAATAACAATGACAATGACAATGACAATGACAATGACAATGACAATGACAATGACAATGACAATGACAATGACAATGACAATGACAATGACAATGACAATGACAATGACAATGACAATGACAATGACAATGACATTGACAATGACAATGACAATGACAATGACAATGACAATGACAATGACAATGACAATGACAATGACAATGACAATGACAATGACAATGGCATTGACAATGACAATGACAATGACAATGGCATTGACAATGACAATGACAATGACAATGACAATGACAATGACAATGACAATGACAATGACAATGACAATGACAATGACAATGACAATGACAATGACAATGACAATGACAATGACAATGACAATGACAATGACAATGACAATGACAATGACAATGACAATGGCATTGACAATGACAATGACAATGACAATGACAATGACAATGACAATGAAAATGACAATGACAATGACAATGACAATGACAATGACAATGACAATGACAATGACAATGACAATGACAATGACAATGACAATGACAATGACAATGACAATGACAATGACAATGACAATGACAATGACAATGACAATGACAATGACAATGACAATGACAATGATAATGACAATGACAATGACAATGACAATGACAATGACAATGACAATAATATAACATAATAATTATTTATAACCAATATACTAATTTGCCCACTAACTAAGCCCACTGTTCCCACTGTCAAATATATCTTGACTTGACAATTGTTGTAATCTAATCACGTGACATACATGTATAATGTTTATTATTCAGGATAGTATGAGCTGGCACATACCTCAATAATTAAGCCATTAAAATTCAAATGATTTCAGAAAACAAGCGCAATTCGGAGAAAACCTGAAGAGCAGTTGCAAGCGACCTGAGCTCAACAGAAATGCGCCTCAATTGATATAACTTATGTACAATATATAGATATACACAGACATATATACTTAGATATTGTATATATTTTGTAATTTAGAATGAATCGATTTGTATATATAATTGGCAAAGGTTAGAATATTTGCATGCGCATATTTAAATGCCGTATTACAATGCGCTGGGCCTGCCATGGCGGATGCTCCTGTGCGGGGAAGGGGACTTATGTTAAGCGAAATGCATAGCATTTCCATGGCGGCAGGGCGCTGCTTGTTGCTTAATCCAAATTATCATCATAAGAGCTGCACTAATGAGCACAACTCAACATAAACAGAGCGCTGCTCACTGACGTCTGTTGTCCGTCGAGCGTCGAGCGTCGACGTGCTGCCTGATGGCCAAGACAAAGTTGCCTGCCAGCCAGCTGGCAAGTTTTTCAAATGTCATCAAGTGCTGGCAGCGACAAGTGCAGCTCGGGCTCCATCAGTCTAATTGCAAGTGCAGCCGCAAAGTTACGTACATTTCGCGCGCTTGCCGGAGCGGAGCTGGCGCTGACGTCGCCGCGTACACTGCTGTCGTCCGTGGCACTCGACTGCAGCCAAAGGCTGCGTGCCGCTGAATGTCCTGGTTTTATTAGGACATGTTCTAAATCATACGACAGCGCCTCGGGTCGCCTGTGCTAAAAGCGGCCAGAGCCGAGCCAATGCGGCATGAGCGCAGGCGCAGGCGCAGACAGCGGCAGAGGCAGCGGCAGTGGCAGCGACAGAGGCAGCGGCAGAGCCGCCTACCATTGTTATGGCCAGCTAACAGTGACTTAACAGTGGCTCAACAGTAACTGGGAACAGTTCTGGGCTGGCCATGTGAATGGGAATTGAACTTAATTGGTGGGTGGGTGGTTGGTTGAGTGGGCGAGCGTGTGTGTGTGTGTCCTCTTCTTCTTCTTTTAGTTATTTTTATTTTCGTTTCTGTGTTTGTTTGTGTGTGTGTGTGTGATTTTGTTTTGTTTTTGGTTTATTTAGTGCTCGTGTTGCTCCGTCTCAGGCTTTTTATGCCACATGTCCGCATTTGGCTTGTGCTGCTGTTTTTGTACTTGCAGCATTTTCGCTTGCTTTGATGCGTGTGGCATGTTTAACGGCACTTGATGATACCATATAAGCAACAACAGCAGCAGCTGCAATAACAATTCCACTGTGATTTGTGCGTCGTCTTCGACGTCAGGTGGAACACCCAAAAGCAGGCAATGCATTTCAATTGCTCGACGCCCGTTGCACTTCATTAAACCCGACATCGACGGCAGGCAGTGCATTTTCTGTGCACTGCCTGCCAGTCTGAGTGTTGAAGTGCGCCACGTGACCCACACACACCAACACACACACACACTCACACACTCACTCACACACATACACTGAGAGTGACTCTAGAAAGAGCTGAAATCGTAGCCATTGCCTGCACTCGGGACACATCACGTAGCCGTCACGTGGGCACAAAAATACAGTAAAAAAATACAAAATATATAGTTGAAAAATATATAAAATAAAAGTAGAAAATATAAAAAAAAAAATAAATAAAATAAAAAATAAACAAAAATAAAATCAACAGTGACACAAAAAATCACTAGAGTAGCTGAAAGCAATTTCATTGCAGTCATGTTTAAAGCTAAGATCAAAAAGTCCAGTTACTGAAAAGGAAGCTTTTGTTTTCATATTTATTTTCCATATTTTTTTAACAAAGGCTTTGCTACCTTTATTGGCAACTTAATCTAATAGAATTATAATTCGTTCCCATATTCGACGAACCCATCTGGCAGCCCTACATCTTGACAGAGACGGGTACAATACGCCGTACAGGCTTAAGGCGGCTATTTGAGAGATATATAATATATTTTCTATTATAAAACTAAATCAAATTGAATTAATATTGTTAAAAAAAATAAATAATAATAATAATAATACTAATAAATAAATACAAAAAAAAAAAAAATAATAATAATAAATAAAATTGTGTTTTTCTTTGAATACAAAAAATAAATAAATAAATACGGGTTCGTGGAATATGGGCAGCCTTGTACGGCTGTCAGATACGTTCGTCGAATATGGACAGCCCTGTACAATATGATAATGATAATGATTAATGATAGTTGGAATTAGTTTCATCTATATTTGGCTATTGCAAATGAATAGCTAAATAAATAATATAATTAAAAATATTAAAATAATAAAAAATAAAATAATATAAAATAATAATAATATAATAAATAATAAAAATAAATAAATAAAATAAAATGTATACCTCAAATCTAATTTAAGACATCAGAAATTAATAATATAATGAATAATAAAAAAAATAAATAAATAAATAAAATAAAATGTATGCCTCAAATCCAATTTAAGACTTCAGACTTTAGATTATAAGAGAAGCAGATGCCATCTATGTCTGCATAGTCAGAATCGCTCGAATTTCCATTCTGTTGTTTACGCTGCGTAATTTATTCGTACTCTTTGCTATATTCCGAGTCACATTTCCCAGCTCACTTGCAGTTTGGCTTGATCCAGATATATTTGCTTATTCTATCAATAAATTATTTGATTACTTATTTAAAAATAATTTGAGTGCTCTGTCAGTATGAATCGCTAGACCCCTCAGCTACTCACAGTCCACTCAGCTCCAGTGCAAATTTGAATACCCTAAGAGGCAGAAAGGTTATCGAGCTGATAATTTGAGCTCCTTCGAGCAGCACTAAGTGTCCATTGTAATGTCACTTGCGTCAACTTATTCGAAATAGAGATACAAAAAAAGAACAGATGATGCAAAATTTACTCAGCTCTAAGTGAGAGGGAGAGAGAGAGAGAGAGAGATAAAGAGATTGAGAGCTTGACAGCTTGTGCCTTGGCAATTTTCACTTATTTGCAGCATACTTGTAGGCATTTGCCAAAACTCTGGCCGAGTTGGTTTGGTGGGGCTGCTGCTATTTCACTGCTGACGCCCAGCCACAGCCACAGCCGCAGCCGCAGCCACAGCTACAGCCAGAGTCGCAGCCCCAGCTACAGAGGGGGGCGGGCGCATGGCCACATCATCTGACTTGCTTTGAGTTTAGTTTGAAAAGTAATCGAATGTTATAATTTCCATTAAACTGATTTCCCACGACAAATGCAAGGCAAACAAGCCGAGTCAATCCAAGCCCAACAGGCGTTGCAATCTTGATGAGTGTGGGCGGTGCTGCTGTTGGCCACTGGGTGGCTGGGCGTGCGGCCAACATCCAGTCCGATCGGGTGTGGCTGGCGAATGCCCGTGTCACACTAATGCACTTCATGTCAGCTCAAAGGAATCGAATCGCCAGTCGGGCAGCCAGTTAATGGCTACATGCATAAAAAGCTGAACGGATAGCAGCCTGGCCTCTCCACGGAGATGGACCTGGCCGGGGACCCGCCTTGACGTGCCGCGCCCCATCGCCCCCGCCGCCCCCCTCGCGCCACGAGTCGCCGTCGACTCGATTTGACTCCACTCGGTGCGCTTCAGCTGCATCTCGCAAATGAAATATAAATTAAATTAAATTCCAAAAGAGCAAGACGCTTGGCCACCACATGCATAAATCAACAGCTCAAAGTGCAGGCCAAATGTCAACCGTTGCATCGATTGCCAATTGCAACTTGCAACGCAACGCACATGCCGCATGCCGCATGCCGCATGCCGCATGCCACACGCCACAAAGCTCTGCTCGCTATGCACACTTTCTGTCGACCAGATGAACTAGTTCCACAGATCGTTATCGATAGTTGTTGTTGCTATTCTTGCGTTTATCGATTAAGGTCAATTTTTTGGTTTAATTTCATTTCGAACTGAATTCCATAAATGAAATGATTATGGAAAAAGTCGCACTATGCATAGAGGGAGATGCTTATTGGCTGACCTATATCAAGAACAGGATTGTTAAAGCTCCACCAAGGCGTTACAACTCTCAGGTTTACAGCTCGAGTACATCAAAAGCCGAAACGAAATGATCTGGAAGAACTTTGGCCTACACAGCGTCTGGAGGATTTTGAGATCAAGTTTTGTATATCTATATCCATATCTATATCTATCTATCTATCTATATATTTACATGAATAATTGATATTACTTGAAACTTGCAGAAAGCTCTTCTAAGTACATTGAGTACATGCAAAGCCGAAACGAAATGACCTGGAAGAGCTTTGGCTTACAGATCGTCTGGAGGATTTTGAGATAAAGTTTTGTATATCTATATTTATATATCTATCTATATGTTTACATGCAGAAGCCTCTATTCATTGATATTACCTTAAACTTGCAGCAAGCTCTTCAAAATGCTTCCATCTCTCAGCACACAGTTCGAGTACATCCAAAGCCGAAATGAAATGACCTGGAAGAGCCTCGGCCTATATCCGCGCTTAGGTTTCAGATCGTCTCGCGGATCTTGAGATAACGCTTTGTATATCTATGTGTATCTATCTATCTATCTATTTGTTTACATGTAGAAGTCTCTATTAATTGATTTTACTTGAAACTTGCAGCAAGCTCTTCCAAGTGTTTCAATCTGTCAGCCCACAGCTCGAGAAAAAATTACCTGGAACAACTTTGGCCTGCACAGTGTCTGGCGGATCTTGTGATCAAGCTTTGTATATGTATACCTGTCTATCTATATGTTCACATGCAGAAGTCTCTATTAATTGATATAATTTGAAACCTGCAGCAAGCTGTTCCCAGTGTTCCCATCTCTCAACTCAAAGTTCTACATCCAAAACCGAGACGAATTGAGCTGAAAGAACTTTGGCCTACACAGCGTCTGGCGGATCTTGTGATCAAGCTTTGTATATGTATATCTACATATCTATCTATATATATATATATGTTCACACGCAGAAGTTTCTATTAATTGATATTTCTTGAAACTTGCAGCAGCTCAAATGATGTCGCACGTTGAGGCCTTTGCTCATTCCCCATTGCTGTGGCGCCAAGGTCTCCAACTTGCTGTGGCGCAAGCTTCAGGTGTCTTCACTGCTTCTGGATAAGCCTGAGAATTGGCAGACAGTAACGGCGCCGCGGCTCGGCTGTTTACGCGCTAGCCTGTATCTAATTCGTACCATGCACTGCATAAACAAATATCAAATTAATAAAATGCTCGTCTCAATTCATTTCCGAGCAATGTTTATGCTTCTGTGTGTACCCAAGGCCACTTCCATAGGGAACTGGGCCGGCTGGGCGATCGTTTTTCCAGCAGATATGGGAGTAAGCGCTCTCTATGCGACGCAATTAGCTGGAAAATTCTTGTGTGCTTATCGAGATCTTATGCAAATAGCTCGACAGCAACAGCAACAGCAGCAATAGTAACTGCAACAGCAACTGCAACAACAACAACGACAACAGCAACAACAAGTAAAACAATAACAATACTCGAACGGGCAGCAACAAACACAACTGGTAATAATTTTCACATTTCCGTTACAAATAAAAACCTATTCACTTTGCTAATATGGCCGCAGCGATTCATCCGGTGTTGGCTGCGTTTCGGGTGCAGGTGCTTCAAAACTTTCCGCACGCAATGCAATAATTTGCCCAAAGGCCAAGGGTCGTTGAATACCCTAGCCCCAGGGCTCATGGCGTTGATTCTATTGTTGCGTTTGTCACTTGAATTGCGAATGGGTAGAAATAATTGAAATGAGAGAGATAAAGAGTGAGAGATAGAGAGACATACAGAGTGAGAACTGGTAGAGATTGAAAGTGACTTTTGAGAGATAAGGAGAGAATGTGAGACAGATAGAGTGGAGTAATAAAGAGGGAGAAAAAAGTGCTTAAGATATATAGACAGAGAGATCAACGAGAAAGTAACAGATAATGTGTGAGAGAGAGAGAATATCTGGAGTGAGAGAGAGAGAGAGAGAGAGAGAATGTGAGACATATAGGGAAAAGTAATAAACGAGCTTTGGAAGAACATGAGAGAAAAAAAAACTATATACGTAGAGTGAGGAACGAGAAAATGACAGAGAAAAAGACTGAGAAAGAGAGAGAGATAGAAAGGGATAGATATATATAAGAACAGACACATGGAAACAGAGTGGGACCTAAAGACATATGCATATATGATAGAGAGAATGATAGAAGGAAAGAGAGAGAACGACAGAGAATGAATAACAGAGAGAGAGGTAAAAGCGAGAGAAAACATAGTAATTGAGAGAAGGGGATAACAATGAGAGAGATGAAGATAAAATAAGAGAGAGAGAAAACGGAATGAAAGTACTGAGCGAAGAAGTGAAAGTAAAAGTAGCTAGAGACATATAGAGAAAGCGACAGAGAGGGAAAAATTATAGAGAAATAAGAGGAGAGATGGAGACAAATAAATAGTCTTACTGAGATACATACATATGTATATAAGAAGAAGATAGATAAGCAGGGATGATATATAGACAGGGGAGAGAGCGAACAAGCGCATATCTCTAATGTGTGGAACAAGTTCACATAATTTGCTTACAAATTTCCTATAAGAATTGAATAACTTTTATATCTGATTGTGAAAAGCCAATTTGTTATATCCCGATCTTCTCTGATTCTCTCTCTTATTTTCTGTTCTCTGTTTACATATGTTTTCCAGTCCAGTCGCCACTTTAACATTCTTTACTGCTGTTAAGTGGTCCGAAGACAGTGTTATATAACGAGAGTTGATCATCGAATGTTGCCCCATCGGCTCGCCAAATTTGTCCACCTCGACTTTCTTGCATCGCTTTGGTAACGCTTCCCACAGCTTTGCACAGCAGCATCGATAATTGGCATTGGCAGTGTTGCATAACGCCTAGAAGATTCTTTATTGAAAAGCCGCCACTCGCGCTGCATCTTTTAGTAACGAAAGTGCTCTGCGCAGCGTCACGTGCTCTCAAATTCTTACCGAATCTGCATTCATCGAGTGAAAAATAATAATTATTGAACATTATTTTGGATTATCTTGAATGATGTGAGTAGAAGTGTATTTACGCTGCGACTTGGCCAGCGTGGCTAGCCCAAGCTCGCTATCTATGGCATTTGTTTAAATGTCAGTTAGTCAGTTTGCCAGGCAGTCAGTCAGGTTAGTCAGGTCAGTCCGTCCGTCCGTCAGTCCGTCCGTCCGACCGTCCGTCAGGCTGGTCGCATTTGCAAGTCGTTAAATGCTTTTGTTGCTTCACATTGTCGTGGCGCACACTTGCAGCTGCAACAGTTTTGCTGCCGCCGCTCCTGCTGCCCCTCCAGCGGCCGATGCTGCTGCTCGACTCCTGCTGCTGTTGCTGTTGTTGCAGTTTGTTTCGTGTCGCTGGCATTGTCAATGCTTCGACTTCCTTCCGCTTTGGCTAACAAATTTGCGTCGTGCATGCAGGCCAGGCAAACATAATCATCATTATTGCTGCAATCAGCATATTTGGCAGGCTCAATGCGGCCCGCCTCCTGCTGCCTTACATTGTTCATCCTGCGGGACACAAGTAAGAAAATAACACGGAAATATTGTAAATTTTATGCCGTTCGCTACTTCAGCGGCACCAGCAGCAGCAGCAGCAGCAGGAGGAGGAGCAGGAGCAACAACTACTACTACTACGAGCGACTCTAGCCATAGTTGTGGTTATGCTTAATATCCGTCATTAAAATTGTTGTTTGTGCCGCAACGTGCACTCTCGCTCGCTCCCCCTCCGTCTCTCCCGCCCTCTCCCTCACCCAGTGCAGCCATAGAGGTCAGTTGGAGCCCAGCCTTGTCCTGCAGGTCTCCTGCTCTGGCCTCTGCCTGCCCCCAGGTGCGTGGGCGCCTGCACCGCGTGCCTGTGCCGCTTAGGCGCATCCTGCCACCAACTTCAACTTTCAACTTTAACCCTAGCACACACACACACACACATACACATGGGCATTATGCAAATATTGTGTGTGGCTCGTGTGTGTTTCTATGGCATTGCACGATAAGAATCCATTGCGCAAAAATTAATTAGTCAATTTGCATGAAATTTATGTACAAAGCGCGAACAAACGAAACGAATTTTGATGTATTCCGCACACATGAAGGAGACACGCGCTGGCTGGCCAGCGCCAGGACTCCTGCCCAAAGGCCACTCGAGTCAGGTGAACGTGAAGGCAGAATAGAGCCCTTCCTCTGCCTCTCCCTTTCCCTCTATCTCTCTCTCTTTAATGAAATAAATATGATATAGGATCTGGCACATCGAGTTAGATTTATATACACATATAGACTCTGAGAGTGTGTTTGTGTGAGCGCGCAGTTTGAGCGCTCTATAAACAAACATAGCTGTAACGAGCCTCAGCTGCTTCTATATAAGATCCCAAGCAATTATCGCTCTCGATAATAGTAAGCTCGGAGTCAACTGTCATCGTCGTTGAAGCAGGCACAGCATAGCATAGCCCTATAGGAGCTCAGAATCAGAAAGCATTCAAACACCAAACAAATCACACCAAAAAAATATAAAAAAATAAAATTTCCAAAAATCGAAAAAAAAAAATATATATAGAAAAAATTTATAAATTCCGAAAAGAAATAATAAACGCTGAAAATAAATCGCAAAGTGAGTGCAAAAACGGCTAGAGAATTGTGTAAAGAAAATCGCGTAACCCGTTCAGATAGACTAACCGCTTCCTCTCTCTCTCGCTCTCGCTCTCGCTCTACAGGATGGCTATGCATTGGGATGTGAAGTGCGATGGCTGCGACAAGACCCACTTGGTGCACTACAGATACAAGTGCCTGCGCTGCCCCAACTACGATCTGTGCGCTGCGTGCTACGAGAACAAGGTGGAGACGGGACAGCATAGCAACGAGCATCCGTTCCAGTGCCTGCTGGATCGGGCTGCGCGCGAGCTGTTCTTTGCCGGCGAGGAGATACCGGAGCTGTGCGCGGACAGCTTCACTTGCCCGTTCTGCGGCAAGATGGGCCACTCCGTCAAGGAGCTGGTGAAGCACATCCAGGCCAAGCATCGCGGCGACAGCACGCCCGTCATCTGTCCGCTGTGCGTGGCGGTGCCAGCGGCGGACACCGTGCGCATGACCAACCTGGTGAACCATGTCTCGCTGATGCATGGCACCGGCATTTTGCGCATCGGCGGCGGCGCCGGCAGCAGCTCGGTGCGCACCACTGGCTTCGAGTTGCCGCCCATAAGCGCCTTGTCGGGACTGGGCCAGGGCCAGGGGCCGGAGAATGAGCTAACCAGTGGCTTGCGCGCTCGCAGCCCACCGCCGGATCCGGCACGCATGGGCGGCTTCCACTGGCCAGTTGGCAGCCTGGGCATGAGCAGCAGCGCCTCGCAGGAGGAGGACTTCTATCCGGAATCCTGGCTGCCGGAGCTGAGCAGCCTCAGCGGCAGCATGCACACCATGCGCGACACCGATCTGGATCTGAGCAGCCTGGTCGAACATTCGCAGTTGCGCCGCGGCACACCGCTCGCACTGCTGCAGCAGCAGCAGCAGGAGCAGCTGCAGCAACAGCAGCAGCAGCTGCAGCAACAACAGCAACAACTGCAGCAGCAGCTGCAGCAAAACCAAGGCCAACGGCGCACCCAAAATCCCCCAGTGCCACCGCTCGCCATGGAGGAGGACTTCAGCGACATCGATGCCGAAGACCCTGCCGGCAACGACCCAACCTCATCCATTTAGGCGAGGACACTTCATTCAGCATCCAAATTCACGTTTCAATAGTTGTTCGCTCATCGCGCAAACATTTCATATATGTTTTTCTAACTCACCCATTCAATAGAGGGTCTACTTAACCAAATAAATGTTTTGCATCTAAAGCTTCTAGTTCTTCAAATGATATGCTCTAGCAGTATATTTTTACTGCCCTTGTAGCTATGTAGCCCATAGTATGACTCGTCCTTTCACAACTACATCTGAAGTTGACTAGCTCTTGTACAATCATTTATACACATACTCAGCATAACATCTGGCGATTCGGTACCTAAGTTTCTGTAAAGCTATAGATATTATTTACATTATATCATTCTCATATCGATATCATCTTGAATTCAATTCACATTTCTTAGTTCAACTTAAGGCAGTGTAAGGCTCTTTCTTTTTATCTACTGAAAATAATGTAAACTCTAAGTATAATGATTCTGTATGTAACAGACGGCAGCAGGCGTGGCCCAGCTCTTAAATTTGTATGTATTCCTGATCAGCATATTGAGCTGCATTTCCGTCCGTGCTTCGGTTTGTCTATACATGCATCAACGTCTTTCCATGCGTCTACCGCTGTCCGTCCATTTGTCCGTCTGCGTTCTTTAGCTCTGATCTCGTAGCACACAAATGCTAGAGTCTTGCCATTTGAGCTGG